CAGTTTTAGCATTTTCTTAAAGACATAGTATTAAAATGTCTATCCTAGTTTATATATTTCCAACCCAAATAACTGTTAGGTGACTTACATTCCTAACGGGGGTGGGGGTGGGGGTGGGGCGTGTCTTGCTTGGCCTCTGCTTGGGCTTAGCTGGCTGGCTGGGAGGAGGAAGCAGCTCTGTGGGGTCTGTGGGAAGATGCTCCTACTGGATGCTGAGGTCCAGAAGGGGGGAGGGGGTTGAGACGAGAGAGCCTGGCAGGTTGGCCCTCCCAGCTCCATGGCAGACCTTACACACACACACACACACACACACACACACACACAGAGCTATGAGATGGCAAGAGTCTCCTGCCTTGAGTCCTGACCACAAGGACCAGCCATATCGACCCAAGGTGATCCGTCCCACTGGTCATTCTGGCCAGGTCCTGCTTAACAGCATTAACAGAGTCAGAAGGGACCTTGGAGGTCTTCTAGTCCAACCCCCTGCTCAAGCAGGAGACCCTGCACCATGCCAGACCAATGGCTGTCCAGTCTCTTCTTAACAACAGCCAGTGAGGAAGCACCCACAACTTCTGGTGGCAAAGCTGTTCCACTGGCTAATTGTCCTCTCTGTTGGGAAATTCCTCCTTAGTTCTAAGTTGCTTCTCTCCTCGATCAGTTTCCATCCGTTGCTTCTTGTCCTGCTGCCTTCAGGGGCTTTGGAGAACAGCTTGACTGCCTCTTCTTTGGGGCGGCCCCTGAGATCTTGGAAGGCTGCTATCCTGTCCCCCCCAGTCCTTCCTTTCTTTAGTCTAGCCAAACCCAGTTCCTGCAGCTGTTCTTCCTCTGTTTTAGTCTCCAGGCCTTTGATCATCTTAGTTATTCTTCTTTGAACTTTTTCCAAAGTCTCAACATCTTTTTTTTGTAATGTGGTGACCAAAATTGGTTGCATTATTCCAGGTGTGGCCTCACTAGGGTTTTATAAAGCGGTACAAACACTTCACGTGGTTGTGATTCTATGCCTCTCTGTCTACACAACCCAGGACTGTATTTGCCGTTTTGGCTCATATTTAAGTACCAAATCCGTAGTTTTGGCACGTTCAGTTCCTTGTGACGTGAGATGGAAACGGAGCTCTCTCCCGCAAGGCCTTTGCAGCCAAAAAAAAGCAGCCTTGCAAAGCAGGATGGAGACTTGGGGGAGGGAGCGGGGCTGGGGACCTGCCCCTCTTTCAGTTGGTGCCCCAAAGGAGAGGAAGAGGGTAGAACCTGGCCCAAAAGAGAGAGGGGTCCCGTAGCCCCTGCCAGAGACGTCCTGGGCTTCCTGCCAGACTCATCCCCGTTTTGGGTGTGGCCCTCCATCAGGGGTGTGTGTGTGTGTGTGTGTGCCAGAGTTGGGGGAAGGGTCTCTGCAGCGGTGACTGTGGGCATTCCTCGCAGGGCTGAAGCGGAACCCCTGCTGGGTGGAGCACTTCAATGTGCAGTTCCTGGGCTCGGTGGAGGTGCCCTACCACCAGGGCAACGGCATCCTGTGCGCGGCCATGCAGAAGGTGAGTCAGGTGTGGGGTGCTGAGGGGGCTGCCTTAGCGGGGCTGGGCCTGCACAACCCTAAGCGGGAGTCAGTGCAGCACAACAGCCACATTCCCAGCAGCCGTCTTCCGACTTTTTAAGTCTTATTTATTCCGTATGGGGGTTACAGAGCACGGCGTTGGGGCATAAAATTCACAAGAACAGCATGTAAAATGTGTATCAAACTCCAAAACCCCATTAGGCTGAATGTCTCTGGAGAGTCTCCGTCATCCAGGTCACGGCTGCTCCAAAGGTCCTTCTCCAAAAGGCAACTGGGCTTTCTTAAGTTTTTTTTTTCTTGGAAAACGTTTCGCTTCTCATTCAAAAAGCTTCCTCAGTTCTGAAGAACCGAAGTACTTCTCCAGAAGTGAAGAAGCTTCTTGGGTAAGAAGTGAAATGTCTTCAAGGAAAAAAAATACCCAAGAACATTCACTTGCCTTTTGAATGAGTCCCTTTGGGATTACAGTGAATTATTTTTAAAAAGGCCCAATAGTAAGGATGAATTAAATTATAAGTAAAATAAAAGTATGTAGGAGCAGTTACTAGAGTGGCTAAGCCTATGGCCGGATCTTCAGATTGCTTAGCCATTGGGCAGCACTGCCCTCGAGATAATGTCCCAGCAGGGTACCTTCTGGGGGGGGGGGCTTCTGCCGCAATGCGATGTAACGTTTGTGGGATGTTCCCACAGTGCCCGTCACTATGACCAGCCAACCTTTGTATTGCCAATATTGGCAGTAACTGCCGTGGTTGCTCTGGATCTGGTCGAGTTCTGTCCAGTCTTTGCTCCTTGGGAGACCAGGGCCAGAGGGGTCTGGGGCTGGGTCAGACTCCCATTTTATTTATTTTTATTTTATTTGTTTGTCAGACATGTACCAGATAACAAGGATCAGTAGGGACATAAGCCAGGGGAGTAAATACAGATAAATGAGGAGAGTGGGACAGGGACGGTGGCCACCCTGGTGCGCTTATGCACGCCCCCTTGAAGGACCTCTTAGGAATGGGGGGAGGTCCACGGTAGACAGTTTGAGGTTGAAGCTGAGAGGGGTTGAGGCTGTAACCACAGAGTCAGGTCGGGGCATTCCAGATGTTGACCCCTTTGTGGCTGAAGTCGTATTTTCCACAGTCGAGTTTGGAGCGGTTGTTTGCCCGTGTTTTATTTTGGTTGAAGCTTCTTCATTTGAAACCTGGCTAGAAGTGGCCCATTCCTGGCGCCGGGCTCCTCCCAATGTCCGAACCTTCTCTGGCCAATTTCTCTCCAGTCTTCGTGTGTAGATACTGACCCCTTGGCCTCCCCTGCCTGCCAGTCCTTTTCCAAGGCTGGCGGTCTCCTTCCAGCCCAGGCGATGGCTTGCTGGAGGCCCTGGGCCGAGCCCAGCCTGGAAGGAGCCCTTGCGTGGTGCTTAACACGGGTGCTCCCACGTTAGCCTCCCCCAGCGAATAGGCGTAGGCTCCCCTGTGTGTGAGTCCCGCGGGGAAGGGTCTCCCGGGCAGGGCTGAGCCCCGCTCTGCCCCTCTCTGCAGATTGCTACCACCCGGAAGCTGACCGTCCACCTGAGGCCTCCGTCCACCTGTGACCTGGAAATCAGCCTGCAAGGCATCAACCGCGTCCAGACCGCCAACGAATACAGACAGGACGAGGAGGTGAGGGTCTGCCGGGGGGGGAGGGGAAGGGGAGGGGGGCCGTTGGGAAGGGAGAGGTGGGGCTGCCCCCAAGGAGGAGCCAGCCTTGGGCAGCTGCAGACTCCACTCTACCTGGCTGCCACGTGCAGAAGCTCTCGGCTCACCTGTGAGAATATACATCTGGGGGGGGGG